TATATATATATATATGAAGGATAGACTGAAAACAATCATACGGATGGACAATTTCAGTTTGTGTTTCATTCGAGCACTTCATCGACGAGACTCAGTAGCAACCAAGATGTCTAGACTTCCCGATCAACCTCCCACCATTACCCGGAGGATCAAGAATGTGATCTTTAACTCTAGCAACATACTTGAATCAGTTTTGCTTTACATGGTATTTGTTGAGTGCCTAGCGACGAGGTGACCTCAGCCGACACGACGAGATAGCGCACAACAACACGAGTTGAACCAATTGATGGAAACAAATAAGGAACATGTTTTGTATGCTACAAGGACCATAATTTAAAATTGTAAGTTGTGTAGTGCGGCAGGGTGACAAAAGGCTTTCAGTGGAGTAGTCATAAAGTAAACGGTGAAGCATATCCGCGGTAGTCTGCCATCACTAGTTTTCATGTGTGCTGTTTTTGTGAACGACCTATTTTCATTTTTTTGGTGGATAATGTAACCACCTACGATACATAGAACAGTATCAGGTAAGTGGCGTATTGGGTCAGCTCACAAGGATAATGTTGGACTCTAGACTTGTCACAGCGGAATCGAAGCGTTTTAGGAAACCTTGGAGACGTTCTCTTCAGGTGAAGAGTGTCATCACTTGGATGACAGGATGAGGACTTAGTGTTGTTCATCAGCTCCAGAGTACCGAAGTTAATGTCCCACTGAACTCTGGTCTCAGACTGGCAGCTTGTCGAATTATATTCTCCGTTATCCTAAAATTGCGTATTTTTTCCGAGAGCAAGACCTTTAAGTTCAACAGCATTCAATAAAATCCGCCGATTAATTAGTGTTCAACAGCACTGTGATCGTTAAAATTGGCGTAACGACTGGGTAGCGAAAATGTGGTTTTCTTTGCCCCATTTCAGAGCATAACATGCTTGTATGTGCCATCTGGTAGTTTGTTGCGTTGTCAGGCCCTTCAGACCCAGGACTTTTGATATCAACATGGCTAATCACGTTTTCTCAGGTTTTATACTATTTAGAACAATACAAAACCTGATAGTAAAAGGACGGTAGTTGACGATTCACATAGTACTGAGCGTGGTCAATAAATACCAGGCTTGTTTGTTGGTCTGTTCGCCTTTTTTGACAGTTGGATTGCAAACGTTTCATCACCAGTCCGGGTGAGACTGTCAGTGCGGAAGGAAGCGGCTCAATCACAACAGAGGAACAGAACTGTCGAATTGAATGCGCCAAACGAACCAACCGGATACAAGGGAGTGAGACCAACTCAGTTTCTCAGGTGACCAATCAAACTGCGCGATGACCGCCTCGGGACCAGCCGATCATTTTAGAGCTACCAGATGCTGTTTAGAAACTAGAGGAGGAGAAATTCACTCAATCAACTCCGCCACGACGATGTCACCTCGATTGGTGATGAAGCATTTGCAATCCAGCTGCCAAGCTCGGCAAACAACCAATCAGCGCGTCCGAGCTACCTATATTGCACAGCATTGCCTAATACCAGGGTGTTGAGCTGATTGATCAAGATTGTTCGTCTCAAAGTTGTTAGCTATACGCTCACTGGACAATTCTCTTCTTTGAGTAAAATGAACTGGTAGCATCAATTCTAGGCATTCACGCGACAAATCATCAGACAGTTAATGACTATGGATCATGGATACACATTTGCAACATCAAATTGAAGCGCTTGATTGGCGCCATTTAATATATGACCGAATAACACCACTATGGCTGTACGTTGATGACAAACATGGTGAACGGTTCGCGAGAACTGTCTTGTATCGATTACAAGACTTTTTGTTTGTCCTTAAGTCCTATTAGAATTATGGAAGGGAAACAGAGAGAAATTGTCATCACTGGCCGTCAAACTGTGTACTATTGTATACATTCGTTGTTGTTTTTCGCACTCGTTTCCAAACTGGTACAAGTAGAATCCGTTGGCTTTTCACCGGGCAGATCAATATGGATAGGATTTGGATCTGTCTTTCCCCTCAACACATTCAACATTGACCTGACCATCTGTCTGAACGTTTTCATCTGAACATCACGGACATGCTAATAAGTTCAGCCTCTAGAACCCAATGAGTTCCTTGTACCCATTATCCATATGAAAGTCAAAGCAACATTCTACCTTGTATAATTACCTCTTCTGTTAAATTCGTCTTCCAACCACTGGGATAGCAGCTGTCCTTTGTTTATCGCTCGAATGTAAACCATAATCCGCCCATTTTTATACCCACCAAATGAATCATCGCTTTTTTGTTATAAAAATATGGTAACATGGTGTACGTTTTTAGCGACTGATAGGTTTGAGTACACTTTATTGTTTGTGCAGGACAATGACAGCACTCAATTGAAACACATGTAACTACAATTTTCCTGTTTCTACTTATCAGCCCAATCAGAGCGATCTACGCTCCGGCGTTGACTATCTTTGGCGTGCGGCTGAAGGTGGTGATCGGAGATGCATGATTTTGCTCGCTCGTTACCTGGATCTATCGGCTACCTTATTCGAATCCGAGAGCAAACAGGACAAGTCAATTCCACTTGATGACTTTGTACTGCTTCCCGCCTTGCAGACGGCTACACTTGATGCGTTACCATCGATATCCCCAGACTCTTGGACCGAAGCGATCACCTGGTATCAAAAAGCCGTTAATACTGCGAATGGAACTGCTTCTTCTGACGGTACTACGGATGAAGGTCTAGATGCGGAGGGCCGTTACGATGCGGCGGAGGACTTACTGCCGGTGTATCGGATTCTAGCACGAATGGCCGAAATGCATACAGTCGGAGGGTTCGGTTTGAAAAAAGATTATAATGCAGCCGGTATGTTTCCCAGCTACGTGCTAGCCAATAGGAGCCCTGGTATTTACGATTTTGAATGCGGTGTCTTTTGGTAACGGAATATACTGACTTCTGTGAAACTAGATAGGGTTTGGGGTATTTAAACTTAACTTGCGACCTTCCTGTGTCGGTCATCGCCAAAAGTGTCTGTATTGGGAAACTCCGTTTTACCGAGTTTACTGTGACGGTACTGGCGTAACATGTGAATCGTAGTTTCAGTCGCGTCACAGTGTTACCTTTATTGATTTGGTTTTCCATACCCATAAACGGCTTTGTATCCGTATTCAATGGTCGCTTCTTGCGTTCGTCGACAAACAGAGAAGAACGATGTACTGTGATTCGTGATAGTGTAAAACTAAGGCTTGAAATGCAGTACTTTTTGATATCCAAAGAGCCGTTCGATAGGTGGGTGATTTGAGTGTCATGGTTGCGACATCCAGGGGGACTTTCACTGTTAGTTCGCCGGGCTATCTCACGCATCGTGTAGTCAAATCCTTGGCGTATTCGCTTGTATGTGGTTTTTCCCGAACGCATTCCTGATCGGATACTCTTTTTTCATTGATAAATGATGTCACACTGGCCAGTTTAACAAGCACAAATGTGAAAATCACTTTATGCCGGCGCGGTTATTAATTTGGCTTCTGTTTCAGCGAACCAAATATATTCTGAACAAAACTTTGAGTTGTGGTTACTGCGTCTTGTTGTGAACCCGCGATTCTTGCACTGAATGACTCGTCTCACTCTTTTTAGAGCCCATCACTTCCAGGTCTAAAACTTTATTGAGCGCATGACTCGTGGAACAGTAGACAAAGACGTTATCCTTCGGATTAGGAGTCCGCATTCCATGCAGCTTGTCATATCTGCTAGTCCGCAGAATACCAAATGACTACTCAGAAAATCTCCAACTTTCTTAATCGATTCTAATGTAAGCAATCTGCACGTTTAGCAGCACACAATCACGGGCAGATAAAGGGATACAAAGATGCCAAAATCAGCTGCGCTGGACTTTAAGTGTGCTGAAGGTATGCAGGATTCTGAACAGTTGTTCATGATATGGATGCGAGCCCTTCGACGTCTAGCCTCGCTGCGGAAGTATACACAACCCTACATTTTCTGAAAATCATGTTCACACAGCCTTTAAGGCGTTTTTGTTTAGTGTAAGAACCTATAACCCTCAAGTTTTGCCTCATTTTCCTAGTATATATATATATATATATATATATATATATATATATATATATATATATATATATATATATATATATATATATATATATATATATATATATATATATATATATATATATATATATATATATATATATATATATATATATATATATATATATATATATATATATATATATATATATATATATATATATATATATATATATATATATATATATATATATATATATATATATATATATATATATATATATATATATATATATATATATATATATATATATATATATATATATATATATATATATATATATATATATATATATATATATATATATATATATATATATATATATATATATATATATATATATATATATATATATATATATATATATATATATATATATATATATATATATATATATATATATATATACTAGGAAAATGAGGCAAAACTTGAGGGTTATAGGTTCTTACACTAAACAAAAACGCCTTAAAGGCTGTGTGAACATGATTTTCAGAAAATGTAGGGTTGTGTATACTTCCGCAGCGAGGCTAGACGTCGAAGGGCTCGCATCCATATCATGAACAACTGTTCAGAATCCTGCATACCTTCAGCACACTTAAAGTCCAGCGCAGCTGATTTTGGCATCTTTGTATCCCTTTATCTGCCCGTGATTGTGTGCTGCTAAACGTGCAGATTGCTTACATTAGAATCGATTAAGAAAGTTGGAGATTTTCTGAGTAGTCATTTGGTATTCTGCGGACTAGCAGATATGACAAGCTGCATGGAATGCGGACTCCTAATCCGAAGGATAACGTCTTTGTCTACTGTTCCACGAGTCATGCGCTCAATAAAGTTTTAGACCTGGAAGTGATGGGCTCTAAAAACTATATACACCACCCTTGTTTAAGCAGCCCTACCTGTGTCCTGGTACAATTACTCTGGTTACTAGGGTAACACCGAAGTGAAGTTCCACTCTTATCAGAGCTTTTCAGTAGTGCCACCATACCAGATCCGCGCATATATGCAAGCGCTGGTGCGCTACTCTACAAAGCCGCTGGACGCACTCGAACCACTCCGTCTGAGCATCTTCGCACTTCGAACTATGTGATTAAGTAACGGATTCTACAAATCTGTACAACTCAATGAACTCTTTTCTTCGTGTCCCGGTCGCGCCAAAAGTGCCGGACCAGCTATGTTTGCTGCAGTGTCTTTGTTCATTGTAAATTAGATGATACTTGTTCTAGTTAAAAAATGACCAATACGCCCAAAAAAATCGAAGATGAGAATAAGAATGAAGAATGGGTGTGGTAAAAACACAGGTCTATCCTCTGTTACCACGCTCTCTAGACGTGTTCGAATGACACACTGCGACAATTTTGTCCCAACGCTTTGGGACGTATAATTTGGAATTGGCAGTGCTGCTAGCTCTAATGCATCCATAATTGAAAACTACATTACCTGGCATGGAATTTGTTCGATAGCTAGGAAATCAAGGCAACATATTCCAGCATTTATGCCAGTGGGTTTGCTTTTTTCTCATATCAGCAAGCGTCAGTCAAGATCTTTTGAACGCCACTCACCACGACCGTCAAATACCGCAAGTCGAATCCGTGCCATTTTCTGACCTTTGGTTGCTTTTCTCGTCTTGGTCACTAACGATGATATTGCTGAGGAAGATGTGTCGTCTGGTAGGCTTTCGGCCTGATGGTTTCCTACAGAGTAAGATACCTTGTAGAAATTTTGATGGTGCTGAAGTGAGCAGATGGAATCTTTCTGGAGCCTTTGTTCAACCTAAGTATGACCTAAGAGACACGTAAAAGGCTGAAATCTTTACAATGGGTTTTACTTCATTCTTTTCTCGACTTGGAGCCGTTTGATTATTATACGTGGGAGTTATCATACGAACACTATATAGTCATAATTACGGTGACTGGACGTTTTTAAGTATATGTTGTGACACATAACACTGCCTCGATAACGCATCCATTGTGTTTTGTTGTCGAGCCATTGTTGCCCACGTCGTCGTGAATTGTGGATAAAGAACGAAACTCGTCTTAGCAGGCTAACCACATGACTGGCTGACTACATCTGATGCTTGATGTATGAAGTACTTACTCTACACCCGAAGTGAATCAGCTGATATCAGCTTCTTCTAGCCAAAGTTCCAAGATACCATGATGCTTTAATACAACTCAACACCTCAGGTTTATATCCAATGTTTTGCAGCAGCATCAACCTGTGCATGGCTTTGAGCGTGCTACGTTCCTTTTGGCGCTACAAGTAGCACAGATTTATGAATCCATTTCCGTTCCTTGAGTCCAGTGCAGTGGTTCTGTTTGTCGCACGAAAATATGATGGATTTGAGTCTGTCTTGAGCTTAATGACATTGTCTTAATTTTAGTCCAATGCAACTCTCCTCCAGTAGTCCAGTCGCTGTTGACCGCCAGCCCGTATCGACTGTCAACAAATCACATTAGATCACGCCGGACATAATCGATTTATTGCGTGCGCCTACAAAGGTTACATAAATTTACCATCATGAAACCCTGATAACCTTAAATTCAGCCCACCTATGCTTACCGTACCATCAGAGCTCTAATGATCAAACTCACCTTAGACTTCTAAAACCGCTGATTTGATACTTGATTGCCTTCTCTCGATAGACAGTTTCTCAGTAAAGGCACATTTAGTCATATAACGGGCAACGATATCATTCACACTTTTGTATCGTCGTTCAAACTACGGTTGAACCATTCAAATTAATTTATTAAGTTACCGGAATCTGTAGTGTCCAAGAACGCGTTCCAATCTGTGTAGGCATTGCAGTGACCTTTTGCGAATGCCTAAATTTGGTGGATTATGCCCTTGAAGCTGTCTGTTCCAAAGAAGTGCAAATTTTGTATTACTATTCGGCTGTTTTCTTTAGTCCATCCTTGGACAAGATCGACCTTTTAGAACTGTTTGTTTGTAACGACGGTCACTTGTATCCGATTTTCTTTAATTTTCGTTCTTTGATTCTACCTCAAAGCCGTGTCCTATTCTCACGGGAATGATAACGCGAAGTATTTTCGTGTGGGTAGATTGAGAGAAAAACATGGGATGAAGAGCTAACTGGGAGCCCACTGATTAGGTTTCGAGAAAGATGGTCTTTTAACGTTTGCAGAGCGATTTTACATAACTCATTTGGCATACAGTGATTTGAAGAGAAAGCTACCGCCATGATTTTGCAGGCGAACCTAATGTTCGGAAGTTTTGCATTGGTCGGTATATGCTCAGTTCGCTCCACGAATCTGTTGAATAGATGGAGAGCACAGGTGGAATGTCGATAACTTGCGTGAACTATATTTTGGCCGGTCGATCCGTTGGCCAAGCCACGAGTTTTGCAGAGCTCTTCCCATACCCTGCTTACTCAGCCTGTCGTTCCTTTCAAGTAAATTAACCGAGACAGTATATAACTGGGATGCAATGATCAATTCGAAGAATTTAGAAGATACTTCGCCTGAGGATTTGTGGTCAAGTCAGGCCTTCACGTACCAGACGTATTTGCAAGAATGTCTTCACAAATTTAGTTCCGCTGCACGGGACCTGAGCAAGCGTTTGTGTCTAATTTATTAGGTTACTTGATTTCGTGTCAGTAGTTGGTACCTGGCGTGTCATTTCTTTTACTGGAGAAACGAGAGGTGCGCTGGCTGTCTACAACAGTCCGCCGAATTTAACGGCGAATTGACAGAAATTCGACTCAGCATGGTCGACTGTGGCATTCATTTGCGTTATTTCGTACCATGCGCATTCCTAATTTAAGTGATTCTCATTTTTCCTCGGCAGAATAAATGATTGGGACTGAAAACCAGTAAGTAGTAAAACTCAAGTGTCCTTACCTTGAAAACAAAAGGCAACATCGAGCAGAAATGAAGAACACCACGCCAGTGAATTTACAGGCATCAACAAACTGTTGGTTCGTAAGATAGAAGAGTCTGTTTACGCTTAGTGCACCGCTGCGTACGAAAACAATGGGTTGCGCTCGCACCCGTGGGGGGGGGGGCTGATTCGCATGCCAGTAGTGGCCGAATCACAACAGAACAACCAGACACAAGAGATTGAGACCAAGTCTGATCCACAGGAAACTAATCAAACTACGCGAAGACCGCTTTCAGAACTACCAGACACCGTTTAGAAGCTGTATAGTCACGGGCAGAAAAGGAGGAATTCACCCACTCAACCCTGCACTGACGATGGTTGGTGATGAAACGTTTGCAGTCCGACTGCCAAGCTCGGCGAACAGACCAACAACCAAGTAGTGGATAGTCTGTCAGGTAGCGGAAACGACATAGCGTTAGTTCAAAACTTTCGGATAGGGAGTCCGCCTCGGCACTTTCACAATCAATGTCATGTTGACTGACTTGAACCAAGGTTACTCATCCACAGCTGTTCTCTTGAGGAAGGAGAAATGTTAGACCTTAATGAGACTAGTTTTCTTTTCAGACCCTCAATATAGGATAGACACGGGTAACCACCGTTTAACACAAACGTCACTACTGCAAAAAGTTATTAAATTGTTACGATTGTGTTCCGTTTTCAGCTCACTTCAGGTTGTTTGATAAATTAGGACAGTTTCTAGGCGTTCTGGGTATCTTTCCTAAGGAGGAGTACTCTTCACATGTCGGCAGTTTGTGCACTATCACGAATGGCTTTTCATTGTAATTTTATACCGTACAGTGTTTATTTGGTGACTATGCCGAGAACTGCACTGTCTATTGGAGAGACTGCAATCTTGTGTATGATGCAAATGGGCTCCCAGTGTTACCTCATTTACCTCTAGCTTCTCAATTTAAGCGGGGCTTCTTGTACAACCGCACTCACTGAAAGTCTTTTGACCGCGGTATGACATTACCTGTTCACCTATGTTATTGATTCTGTCTATATTTTTTTCCTAGGTGATCTGTTCAACCAGGCGGGCGAACTTGCTTCCTCCTGCAGACAGGGCCGTCTCGCTGCCAAGTACTTCGAACTGGCTGAGGAATCTTACAGCAAAGTTGAATAAACCACCCTTTATCGTAGTCCGTCCGTGTGCTATGCTTGCTCATTGCCGCCAACCGTATATATATACGTTGACTTCAATATTCGTTGTTACGTTGACCCGGTACCTTTGCCCCTGTCCTGTCTCAGGTGTCTTTAACCTGTAGTTTTTTTTCGCGATTTGTGCCTTATATACATCGCTCGCCCATCGACTGTTGTGTTTGGTAACCAACATTCATTCGTGATACCTCTCGACAGTTTGCCTCGAACACGTGTGTACCATCGCCCATTATTTCTAACTTCTGTTTCGACTCAGTTTACCGGTGCTTGCCTTACGTCCGTTTTCCAGTGCGCATCAATACACATTACCTGAACACTTTTGACCTGGTTTCTTTATTACTCTCTTCGGGCCTGGCCAGTCTTGGCTTGTTTGGATTTACCAGTTTCGAAGCTGATCTTGTGGTGTAGCGATGGTCTGGGGTGCGTCATATTCTGTCACCCGAATGAAAGAAAACCAGGGCGGAGCTCGTGAATGAGGTGGGCTCACAGTTTGAATTTGACAGATAAGCTCTTTTTGTATTCTGGTTTGCTGTAGAGAACAGTCCCTTCACAAGCAATAGTTCTCCAAACTAAAAGATTTCGGTGAACCTGAGGGCTTCCTTTATAAGATGCCTTCAGGATGGAGCAAGAGGCTTCATTTTTTTCGGTTCATGCCTAAGTAGTTGCACATTGTCCCAAATTAACTTAGGTAAATTGGAGGTTATCACGTCTCATCTACTGGTATTCAGTCAATACTGTAAGGAAGCAAAGCTAAGTGGAAACATGCTAAGTAAACTTGGCGTTGAAAAACGCGTTTTGCTATCAGTCAGGTATTCAGTAAAATGGCCCGGACACGTGATGTTCTGAACTTTTCCTGAACTACCCTTCACAGGTGGGTGATGCACGGCTCTTTCGAATGAAACCCGAGGTCATTAAGATCATCTATGGACAAATCCTTTACGACGCATCCAAAAGCCAATGGGTCATTCTTCTGTTTCCAGTTATAAGTCATCCGGGCCCCAGTTGTGGATTCGGAAGTTCCTCTTTTCCTATACGTTTTGCTTCGGTTGTACTGAAAAAAGCAGGTTTTACATCTAAGATCAACCACAAGTCGTGCAGTTTGATCAACCATAATTGGTAGAGCAAAACACCTTCGTGTGTCACCCCCATCTGCAGTAGATTTCGGCTTTGATAAATATCACAGCTGTTTCGTGTGTCGATGTTCACTGTCGTTACTTTCGCTGGTGGTAGTCAAGTTTGGTTATTGGACAGGATGGCCTTCAAGCACTGCCCAAAACGCATTCTAGATATTCAGGAGCTTGAGGAGGAACTTTCTCACAGCCAGCAAGAGCCTTTGCTTCGATGACATTCGTTCAGGGCGGGAAACCACTGCGAGTATTTGGATGTACAGATAAGGAACAAATCCCCAGTGGTTCCTTATCACTCTCAAGAACGATTAACATGGACACACCTCACCGATTACCACTTCAGGTGAGGTACTCTTATTGTGTTATTATTACGGTAGGCATAAAGTATCCCCAGCTCGATCCGAAAGGTCGGTGGTCTCCATTAGAGGTGATGCGTCGTATAAAGAACCTATCTCGGACTGCATTAACCATCGTTCTGTAGGAGTGGCGCTTCCATTCAAACATCTACTCAAAGATCCCAAGGTTATGCTAGCCTCCACAAAGCATTACAAAAAACGATACATACCGCCTTTGTGTCTGCAGATCAAGAACGATTTATGATGATCCCCCAAATAACGACAGACGTGCGACTGCACTCACATAAGTGGGGAAGCCATCCATGAGATTTCTTGAGCCCCTAGACCGTTGACATCCTTTGTAAGGTGCCTTCATGAAGCCTACAGACTTTACATGTTTGACGTCTTATACGAACTAGGGGAACTGTTGGATTGTGGTTTCCCTGCAACGCGCATAGCCGACATTCCCGATTCATTCGTCAGCAGATTTAGCTGCACTATTGACGTGTTTTTATTTTAGTGCCGTGCACATCACATTAGGCAGGCTGAGAAGAATTTCGAAAAACACCTACTGACAAGTATCTTGCGAGTGATTATGATAAAGTGGTCATGCGAAGTGGAAAATATTCACCATTTCATGCGACTCAAAGTATTACATGACTCAAATGGTTTTAAAACCGAGGAACTTGGAGACAGATGTGTCTGAGTGGGCGAACATGTCAAAGGTTAATGCGCATGATCGCCCAACAATTACGTGCGTGCGAACCTGTACCCGACGACCAAAAACGTTTTTCACGAGCATTTAGAAGGTGCTTCCACCGAGTGAGCACCAATTGACAAATACCGAAGACAAGCCCTTTAAACAACTGTTGTGACTTTGTAATGAACTCAGGGCCGTATAACTGCAATGGGAATGCAAATAGATACCAACAGGTGCATCCAAGCAATGAATAGAGCAACAGTGAACACAAGACTAAAAGAAACCCGTATATTTTGTCGATATCGACGTCCGGACAAAACACTACCCCGAACATTGCACTTAATGTCGAAACTCACTTTTTTTCAGTATTATTCTACTGTTAGCCAGGCCATCAAGCGAAATGTGCCACATTGTGGTCCCATTGGAGTTCCAGTGGGTACGGTAGTCTTCGATACTCTGCCCTAAAGATGGGGGTCCTACCGCGAGTTAAATCAAACACATCCGAAACTCGACTCATGGTTCGTCGTAATGCCCCCCCCCCAGACTGAATATTCCAGCAGCTTGTCGTTCTGCTCAAATGATTGACCAAAGTAACACATGATGGGAAAATCCTCGGATCAAACTGTGTAGAATGAACCATATCAAAGTTTTAGTTTGATAATCGGTAGTGGAATCTGGTCAATGTGTTTTTCGGACTGTTTTCCTAAGCCTGACAGTGCCACGCGTGGTCTGACCGAACATTTTTTGCTTAATTCAACATGCTACTCGCTTGCCCGTCAGTAGCTGGCTTCACTACATCAATCTCACAGAAGCGAGCACAACACATTTACAGTGGACTACTAAGATTGGACAACTCTTGAGACATAATTCAGTCGAACTTGGTACATTGGACGAAAGGTCACCAGCTATACTGTTGTGGCTCCTAACCTAAAAGTCACTCGTTGCAAGCCTAATAGACGCAGTCAGCTAGAATACTTTCACCAGCCGCCTACGTAAAACACAGCTGTCTGGCTCGAAGGCAGTACTACCACCATAGGAAACGCGTACAGGTTCACAGCAAATGCCGTGAGCCAAGATCTTCTGCGCATCCAACACAGGTCACAACAGGTCATCCTAATCAACATCGCATCACTGAGTTTTAAGGTTCGGGGGGATGGGATTGCGCAGCAGAACTCTGTACGGCTGACTGTGGTCTTGCAACGGTCTTCCAACCTGATTCTGAGCGACAACTGGTAGATGATCTTTGTCTTTTTGCCTGCGTCGAATATATCAGAAGGTGTTCGGTCATCCTGTGAGAATTGCTGGCATGTTCAATATTCAGTCGTTTGTCAAAGGCACCAGATTTTGCATGTTTTGATCTCGTCATAAAATTTACCATGGGGAGTTCTGCAAACGTACTAAACCACGAAAAGTAGCAGACACCCATACCAGTGAACCCTACAAGATTCTAATTTAAAAAAAACAGGTCCTCCACACGTCTAAGCTGGATTTTCTCGGTTTGCGTAGTTATTTTACTTTTACGACCCTTAATTACTCGTAAGAATTTTTCAACCGTCCCTTAATGGGTTTATCCGGTTCTACCCCCATCAGACTAAGATGTACGTTACTAATGGGGTTTTCTTCAACGGACCAAGTACTGTTGGTTTTCATCATCAATTGGCTCATCACACCACCAAATTCGGATATAAGCTGTTCAAGATAAGAAGTCACGATTGTCGGCCGACAGATTCCAAGTTTATAGATTCGGAAGATAAACTCACTTCGTACTCTTAGGCGAGAGTTGAAACACACTGAGTAGGAACATTCAACCTAAAAAAAACCTGTATATTTTCTGCGTTGCCTCTCATCGACTTATCGAAAACGATCTTCAAAGTTCCGAATTTGTTGGCTGCTACCCTGCTACTTCGCTCAGTCTACCATACCTCGACGAGTCTGGGAGACTTTTTACTATATTCAGCTTTTACACTTCAGTTTGCCAAAATCCACCGTTTGGCGGTTTCCAAAAACCAAACTGTAACCGGTTACCCTTGTCAACAAGACGTTTAGCAATACCCTGCAGAAGGAGAGAAGGGAAAACTAAGAAAAGAGCATGTATATGATTTACAGTCCCACATCTGATCGTATCACGATGTTTCGTTGAGACGTTTCCAAAACGTTCATCTCTGTTGGACGCAAACAGAGTAGGTTCAATAGATCACAAGTGACTCAAGTCGAAAGACCATGTGGAGAGACCTGGAAAAATAGGTAAAAGAGGATCAACGGACAAAGTTTATAGAATATCCTTCGGAATCCGGTTTCTTTTCAACTTTGAAATTATCCGTAGACAAACCAAACGGCTTCAAAACCAGGTTGCCAAGCTGCTTCAGCTGATCCAGCATCTTCTCCTTCATCTCTTCCTGCTGCCTCTTTATCCGATCAGGGAGAGTCTGTCCAGGAAAGGAATGAAATGTTTCTTCACTGAATTACACCGAAAAAACTCAGCTGGAAGAACAATTTGCTAATTGTGGTAACGCACATAAAGAACTAACAAAGTCTATACTTGGGCTTATGTTCGAACTCCAACAGTTTCAGTGCCAAGAAACTAAAATGGATTAGACAGGTTTTTCGTTTCACATAAACGAACTGGATATATTATACTTTAACTCAGAAAGCCACCGGCACCAAATGAGAACAAATCGTTTGAGAAGTGTTTGGCAAACAACCAGTTGTGTATCAAGCCTTTCGGAAACGACATACCATTACTCTACTAAACGCATCTGCTTGGAGGCGAAGCGTGAGCGACAGGAGCTTCGTTGCTCGAAATTAGCACCTCCGAACATCGGTCAGTCAGACACTCACCATACAAGCCCAGCGTGCTTTCTGATTTCCAGGATCCAGTTGTAACAACTTTTCGTAGTCATGCAAAGCATCTGTAAGCATGTCTCGTTCCTCCCTTAGAGTGGCACGTCGTTCAAGGCATTTAACGTAGTCTGGTTGGAGCGTTAGTGCTTGATCACAATCTGATAGGGCAGCGTCGATGTTGCCCTGCAAGAAAAATGGAGGCAGAACAAAATTTGTTCAAGTTAATGCATGGAAAACTCGATAGAACTTGAAGATTTCCACTTGCGGTTAGTAAAAAACGGCAGTGATTTTGTAATGTTGTTTGGCCACAAAAATGCCACTGGAAGGCATCTAACGGAGTGATTCGCAAGCTGTCTGGATACCAGACTTTTTAACTACGATGTGGCTGAGCGAACTAGATCGCCGAACCAGAAACCTGAATCCGCTATCACATAGGAAAACATATCGTAATCAGAAGGGACTCCATTTTGAGGTTAGCACCATTAAAATAATATGGGATAGTTTTGCCACGTAATCATTGACTCCTAAGCCACCAAAAGCGGCCAGCAAGAATATACATCATGCGGTTGTTGATCAGTTTAATGTAGTTGGTGAGATTGATTTCGAAAGTGTGCCTATCGTTGAACTTCTGTACAGGAGAGAGAAGACACTGAGAGAAACTCACTAGTTTATTTTGACAGGCAGCTCTGTTGGAAAGTAGAACGGAGCGCTCCTTCTCGTAAATCAAAGGGCAGACGTCTAGCGCTCTCGTGTATTCTTCTAGAGCTTCACGATAGTCAGTGCTCCGAAACAGCTCATTTCCTCGTTCTTTCGAATCTAAAGATTCGGCCTTGCGTTTCTAAAAATCGGCTCGATAGGCAAACACAAAACATACCTCTAACTCTTCCATTGTGAGCTGCGCCTCCTCTTTCCGGCGAGTTTCTTCAATGGCTAGTATTGTCTCCTTTGTTTGGGCCTCAAATTCAGTCGCAAAATCATCTCCAATCCTGTCGGTGGGAGAGTTATGTGGTTCCGTCATATTAGATGAGTTCTCAGCACCGATGGGCATCCGCCTATTCCATTTATCCCATTCGGGGTCATCAGAGCTCTCAGCAGAATAGCCTAGTGGATCTTCGCAGGCATCCTCATACTCATCCGAATCAGAATGCTCGGCCTTTCTATTCATTCAGATTGATCTATAAATAAGAACGGAATATGTAAGGTAAAATAAAAGAAAGAACCTAATCATGTGCCACAATTTCGTTGTCGTTGCCGTAGCGGGCTTTAAACCGACCTGCTACGTTCTGAAGGCAAGACCGTGCACCCGAACAGTTCAAATGAAATAATGCTGGGGGTGGTGGACGTACCTTGGCTTAATATTTCAAAAAGATTTGATAAATTTACACTGAAACTGACTACAATGACTTGAAAAGGCGTGCTTAAAACAACCTTCAGCATCACAGCTTATACTGACTATCGATGCAGAACGTGGTCCCGTACTCTCTAAAAAACGACTCAGTTCTATAGGATCACCAACAGAAGAATGCATTAGCATGGGCTTTTATTTTGATGGTAGCGGTAATGGGGTTGAATGAGTAAGGAAAAAATGGATTATCTGAACAATTGACTGACTAACGACCACGTTGTTGTAGAGAGAGTTGGTCAAGCAGGGGTTAGCAGAAGCGACTGCTTTATCCATGAAAAAGCCAGTAAATAGGGATGCTGACTGTCTTTTCGTCTAAAATCTATAGACTAGCGGGTCAGCAACGTGTTCCGTTGGTTGGAAACATGCGGTGTGCGTACAAAACGCTGACAGCTCCAACGGCTTGACTGAAGCTTCAGTTGTAACTCATCAATGTGGATATTTTTGGAGAGTTAGTGTGGTGTGACTTCGATGAATACCTATTCGGATGCTATAAATAAGTGTCGAGTCAGTAGGGTTATGCGAGCAATGTTGTCTCCTCTGGCCCTGTCGTATAGTGCCTTCAGCGTGCTCTTCGTTATTCAACGTTCCTCTATCATCTCACAGCCAGTGTCACGTATGCAGTACTCTTCGTAAGCATTCACGCGCCAACGGGTGTTGGGATTTACGGAGTGGAGAAGTGCAGTGAGATTTTTCGGTGCAACTCTGAAGGAGAAACATCACTCCAAGGCGGTACGATCGACTGAGTCGAATAATGCTTTCAAGTCTAAAACAATAACCATTGGCCTGTGACGTGTGGCAGTGTTCAACATGTTATCGTAAGGCAAAGTTACCGTCAATGTACCAACACTGCGGGAGGAATCCTGTCTGGATTTCACAACTATAACGCCCGCGAGTACTAGTAGGTCTGTGTGAGCAGTTAGAAACGATGGCGATTAAACACTTTTTTAGAAGCAGGAACATCAGGTGTGCACCATTTCTCTGCCAATTCCTTCGTCCTTTCAGTGCACTACACGGGGCGAAATGGCTAAGCGTTTAGAACGCGAATTTACTGACCGGAAGGTCCATGGTTCGAACCGCGACCTCTGCCTCTCGGGTTCCCATGTTTGGACTTGGGCATTATCCCAGCCCTCATGCTTCCTTCTGAAGGCACCGAAAGAGTGCTACAGCTGAATGATTTTTCTTCTGCAAGAGTTTTGTCTGACTGAACGAACCCATCGCTTCCATCCATGAGTGATATATTTCGTTCCAGAAGTTCGACTTCGTTTTGGACTTCACCGTGTGCTGGGACAAAACAATTCACCTTCCACTGTGAAGTTTGTATTGCTTGAACCGTATGCTGAGTATCTCAGGCCCGTTAAATTGTTCTTCGAAGTAGGCGGCAGGATCTGGAACTGACTCCACTGTAATGACTTCACTCGCCGACATCTCCCTGGGCCGCATCACAGAGAAGTTGGAAAAGCATTGGAATATCTCCAGTCACCGTCACATTTCCACTTCTTAAGCTCTACTTAGCTACCACGTCCCGGTTAGTCTTGGGAGTGCGGGTCGCAAGTCGTTTTAGAGATCTCGTTGGATCGATCTGTCGTCTCGGTCAGACTACCCTCCTCGCCCTGATCAGAAACATTGACCCTTTGAGAAGCAAACACGAAGCGGAAAGCGTGAGTGGTGACATGATTGTTTTTGGTACAAGATTGGTGCGCTTATGGATGGGTTTCACAGAAAGTGGCCGTCAAATGGGACAGAAGGAAGAGAACTGAAAATCGGGATCGATATTGCATTACAGTTGTAGAGAAGTCCTTAGTTTTGAAAACAGCTTCGACTAAAGAACTACGTCCACTGGAACTATGAAGATCAAACGTTGTTGCACCACAAACATGAAGGTCGGTACCAAATGAATTATGACCACAGTAAGAATTGATGAGAACAGCATAGCAGGTTGTACAGCTCTGAAACATCCAGGAGACAAAAGTCGGGCTTTGCTGATAGATTAAGACAGCTTAGCAGCTTAACCCACCAACGTCCGCTTCGGATAGACTAGAGGCAGCACTAATATTAAGCCAAATCCAGAATTCAACTGCCCGACCTAAAGCTGTCACCTTGAAGTGGTGGTTGAGCTTGAGTGCTGCAATGATCCCGCGGGCTACACCGGCTGGAACTTTGTTCCACAAGGTGCAACCATGCCAGGAAGGTCAAAGGGGAGCAGCGAGACCCCCTACTACCAGTAATCATGCTACGAGGCTGTCTGGGGGTAAAGTCGTACTGTCCTTGCGACAGGAGTGTGAAGACAATAAGGTGTTTCCCCCAGGCGACCAGCATGTCCATATTTATGGAGGCAGCGATGCTGCCTTCTCCCGAGGAAGGACGGGTTAGAAAAGATCGGCCACAAAAACTGCACACTCCGATCGCCCAACGGTTGACCGTGACCGCCGGCGCATTATCCAATACTTTTAAAGCCAAAGAGCCCGGTGCTGCTCAAAAGACACCTGCTGTGCGCAGCCGCATCAGGAATGAGACAGTAGTGCCTTATTCCCTAAGCCCTCGGGTTAGGCCAACCCCCTGCAGCCGAGCAGGTCAGCCTGTTGAGTCGTCGGCTCCGGGCAGGGTCCC